TTTTTTTTTTTTTTTTTTTTTGATGTTTAGCAAGGAGTTATTTTAGTAAAACAGGATAAAGTAGGGAGAAATAAGAAATGGACATCAAACATCTCTTGCTTCACATGGAGGAGATGCGAGTAAAGAAGATTCAAAATGATTGTTCTTGCTTTGTGGTACATGTCTGAGGACTTCATCTTGAGTTCCTATCTAAAGACCTGGTTACAACCACCTAGAAACCTCCAATCATTTTGCTAAGTTCCAAGCATAGAGACAATGGACTTCAGGTGGGTCCGTTAGCCAAAACATTACCAAGATGGGTCTTGTTATTATTCAAAAGCATGGAAATAAGCATTTGGCCTATCCCAAAACATAGGAAGGATAGGTATAACTTTGGACATTCATTTGCCAGGCATGGAAGGGCATGTTTTTTTCAAAGCAAACTTTTGTGGAATGCTTTAATAACATGTAATAGTGCTCATATTGATGTTAGGTCACCCCCCCCTTAACCCAGCAAATCCCCTGAACATAACCATAACTTTGAGATTTGTGTGCATCTTCATTTAGGGTCTGCCTGGTCCCTCAGGTACAGCAGGAGAAGCTGGCAAACCAGGAGAAAGGGTAAGTAAACCGAATGACAATAAATTCACCTGAACTTTAGAATTTCCTTCTGTTTAATGGCCTATTGCAGTACAATTACAACATGTAAAAGGAAATTTCGTGTTTCATATGTTAATGATAGTGTTCTACCTTGTTTGTGCTGTGGGAGGGAATGAAACAAGTGACTTATTTTAGTTCAAATTACTTTGTTTTATGGATTGAATGAAACATTACATCATGAAAGTAAAAACCCATCGATGAATATTTCATGCAACAGCCTTACTTTTTGTTTTGTTCTCGGTAATGTTAAAATACAAATTATTTCCTCCTCTATAGTGAAAACATAAATGCACTGATTTTCTATCAAACCAGACCCTGAAAATTGCTTTTAATGTTTTTCTTGGCATTCAGACATGACACTGCTATCCACAATCAGAGCATGAGTTCTGAGTCATTTTCCCTATAATTGTGATGAATGCGCCTCAATTTAGTTACATTCTGTGGCCTGGTCTCCTTTGTCAACAGTGGGGCACATTAAGGAGACAGCTGGTCAGTAATAAAAGAGATACACTTGGGTATACAATTAACTAGGTAATGTACAGAATATGATAATTTCTATTAAGAAGGCAGTCTGTTATATAGCTAAAAATAGGCAATGTCTGATAGTGTTCATTACTATTTATCATATTATCAAAGGAGATAGCTTGCTTTGTCACTTTTTTAAAGACAATAAATGAAATAATGGGAAACTTAAATTTTATACCAAGTTCTAGGACAGATACATCTTTGATATCAATTGAATTCCCTTTTTGTATCTTTCCATAGACAATTGAAAGTTTTGCTGTATTTATTAGCTGGTATTCTTAGCATTTGTATAGGTAGAGCCCACAAAACTTTATTTCACTCTGAAAGAACCTTTTAAATATCATAATCACAAGTGGATTTGGGGATCACACTTACATTCCACACTTTATTTACTCTTATGTTTTGCCTAGGGGCTTCCTGGTGAATTTGGCCTCCCTGGTCCTGCTGGTGCAAGAGTAAGTGTTACTTAATTTTCAGAAACTTCCAGCAATGTGTTTTTAAAAGAAGTAGTGCTTTCTCCTAAAGTCACTGATGACTGTCCTTGTAGCAAGTTCCTAACCCTCTTCTGTAGTCAAATGGGACTTGTGAGACAGCCTTAGATTTCTAAGTCAATAGTAAACTTCTTTTAGTTGCTCATATTTCCTATTCACTAACCACCTGGTTACAAGAAACATAAATTTATGAACTAATATGTTTATTATAGTCAAATATATTTATTACAGTGGCCCAATCTGAACCACAGAAAAGTAATACCTTCCTAAGATCTAAAGTCGATTCTTTGCAATGCTTGTTGATGTGCAAAGTCTAAGCTGAACTCATGGGTCTATTTTAATAAAGAAAAATAATTCATTTTTCTATAGCTATTAGCATAACTGGAATGATGTTTGTCACTAACGTATTCCATTATATTGCTTAGTTACCATATACCTAGGAAACTCAAAGTTAGTGTCAAAAAGCCATAGTACCATAGAACAAAGTTACAACAAAGTACTTTGATATTGCTTGCCATAATGTGTGGACTATGGTGTGTCAAACAGTGTCGCTGAAAGTGACTTCTTCTAATTGCTGTTTTACAGGGGGAACGTGGTCCCCCAGGTGAGAGTGGTGCTGCTGGTCCTTCTGGTCCTATTGGAAACCGAGGTCCTTCTGGACCCCCAGGGCCTGATGGAAACAAGGTAAAACTTTGTGTTTTATAGATTGATGGAATGACCCAGTGTATCCTAGAATAAATATTCCCTTTACAATAGGAGAATAATTTCTTCTTCAGATGTTTTTATTTATTTCCAGTTCTGTGATGACTTCTTCCTCAATAGCAACTCACTTCTGATTCCATTGGATCCAAATTATTCCAAACAATAAATTACAAACAATAAAGAATTAGTAATTAGTCTGGGTTTCACCCCTTTTTTCATCACATTGTTTATGATTTTGCTTGAATCTATAACCATCCTGTATATTTGGACATTATTTTTAGAGAATGAACTTTTATCCTGTCAACATCATAGCCTATAGAATAAAATCTCCAAAAGTAGTCTAAATTTTAATAAGAGAATTTATAATAATGAAAACTAACTGGTCACTACATTTGTCCCAAAAACACAAATCTGAAAATGTGTGTTCCAATGTAGAATCTGTGATTTAGACTTTCAAATAGATGGAATTATACATGTCCAAAAAACGGATTACTTGAACCACAATAAAAAGAAAACACTTCATATTGTTTCTGATTCTTAGCATCAAGGAAAAAAAATGTGAAGAGTAATTGCAAGAAAGTATTTCAGTATATAGAAAGATATTATGGGGAAAAATAAAAACAGCATAAGAGGAAGAGAAGAAATAGAAAGGAAATATGGTGGTATTACATGCTTTCAAAGGCATCCATTCATCTCAGAAGCTAGCCAACAGGTTTTAAGTGCATGGAATTGTAAGGTTTTATATTAAAATGGAAGCTGTAGTCTCAACTCTTAAGAAGACTAAAACACAAACATCTCCCCAGTGGATGAGGTCTCTTTCCATCTTTCTTGCCTGGGCTAAGAGACTTATCCTTGAAAAGGCTTGTGGGCAAACATTTTTCACTTTCTGCTTCCCATTGTCATATCCTCTCCTTTTCCATGCCCATCTTCTCTAAGAGGATTTGGAGTAGGTTACTGAAGAATCACAGCCACCCGCTCCCACTACTCTCTTCTCTTTAGTCATAGTGTCATTAATAGCATCTGCTTGTTGTATTCTCCCTCCTGTCAATGCCCTCCTTTGTATCTCTAAGCAAGCAAGAATGCTATCCATTAAATGTTTAAATTGGAATTCCTCAAGAGTGTGAGACTTCATTTTCTTCTTTTGTCACTGAAATAATTGATTTCACATGTGTTTGATTCAAGGGTGAACCTGGTGTAGTTGGTGCTCCAGGCACTGCTGGTGCATCTGGTCCTGGTGGACTCCCAGGAGAGAGGGGTGCTGCTGGCATACCTGGAGGCAAAGGAGAAAAGGTACCCACACAGTGTTGGCCCTTAATAATACTGTTGATGAACTCAAGCAAAGAAGGGTGCACAAAGGTGCCCAGCTTTTTACAAATCTTGGCAGGTGGTCTGGTAGCATTTTGACATCTATGTATATACATTTCCCTGTGCCACCTAGCACCTATGTGTTATTTCTAAACTCACTAATCTGGCAAAATTTCTTGCTACCATGGAATTTCATGCAAACAGATGGTGTTGAGTAATACATGAGGCTCATTTTAATGCCACTAACAATAATGCCTCATCCTGCCCTAATTAATGGAAAGAAGCTATATTGAACAGCTGTCAACCGTGCTGCTGCATTAGTTATGCCACAAGAGTGATCAAGCGCCACAGCCCGTTGTGATGTTGCTTTACAATTCTGTCCACATGAATTTGTACCTTCCTTGATTATGTGTCAGAGGAGTGTGTGGAAATTAGAAAAAAAAATTGAACAATAATCTGGAAGGGGCCTTGAATTATTTTTTTTTCATATTTTTCCTTATTCAACATCCTATAGAATGGTAGGGAACTGAGAAAGTCCTCAAAGTCTTAAAAGACTAAAGGCATTATAGCATCTTCTGTAAAAACAGTTTTTTTTAATTCAAAAATTTGGTTGGAAAACAAAAGTTGCTCTTGCTTTATACTTTCAGGGTGAAACTGGCCTCAGAGGTGAAATTGGTAACCCTGGCAGAGATGGTGCTCGTGTGAGTAGATTTTGCTTCTATGTTCATACTTAGGTTTTTACTTTTTACATTTTACCCAATTTGAATTGAAAGTTTTCAGAATAGAACTATAAAAAAAAAGAATTCAAGTTTACTAAAATAGCATTCCATCCCTTTCTGGATCACTAACAATACCATTTTACATGTTCCAAAGGAAAAATTCAACAGGATATGCCCTTTTGAGAATCATACCCTGAGTTTACTGCCTTCATGGGTGTTAAATAAGTCAACTACAAACTACAGACACAAAGCCCTCATTTTAATAGAAAGTAAAATGATTGTTTTAAGTGACAATAGGGATTAAAAAGCACTATTTCTCTTTTAAGAGCCAGACCCCCTAGCAAAGTCCTTTAGCTATTTATATTTATGCCCTAGGACTTAATCCAAGCCACCCTCAAAGATTAGCTGTTAATGCCATAGAAATGCCAAAGATAATCCTATAAAAGTATAATTACCTTGCCTAAAGTGCCAGCATCCTGGTGCTTTCAGGCCACAGTCTGGCTGGGTTCTTTCTTTTCACCTCTCTCTCCTAGCTGATAACTCACTATAGCACATTCCTAAGTCTTTTCCTTGAATCACAGTCTTAGTGACCCTAAATAGGGCTATGCATTTGCTGCCTCCCAGAGAATTGTATAAGAGCTCAAATCTCCCAAATTCTAATCCTGTCTTGACTTATACATTTCCAAATCCTTTAGCACTGGAGTTCTCTCCTCCAGAAAAGTGGCCTGTGGTAGCTTCGATGACTAGCACTGAAATGTATTAGAAGCCTTATTGATGTCTAACCAACTTGTGCCATACAAGTATTCAGCCAGCATTGAAACCCAGCAGTGAAGAATGACAAGTTCACTTTTGATGGTGTGGAGTGTTATTAATAAAACCTTTTCCTTTTTGACACTAGGGTGCTCCTGGTGCTGTAGGTTCCCCTGGTCCTGCTGGAGCCACAGGTGACCGGGTAAGCACACATTTTCTCTGAATTATATCTCTCTGAGCTGATAGCATTATCTAAAATTTTTTACCTGCCCTAGTCCCAAAGAGTCCCAGCAATTCATTTTTATGGCTTGGTATAAAACCCACTTATTTAAAAACCTAGCTGTTGTGATAGGGCAGCAGGAAACAAATGCTGTGTGTTTAAAGTTCCTTTTCTTTTCTTATAGATGGGCCAGCTATCTGATCTATACCTTAATCCCTATCATTTGTTTTAAAGACTTTCCCCGCTGCCCATTAACAACCTCCTAATGCACTAAGCCTTCTCAAAGCCTTCAATTGTAAAAAATCAATAAAATACATAGTGTGCCCATTTCACATTGAACAGTCCATTTAAAATAGACCTTATTTATCGTGTTGCAAAGACTGCAGCAAATAGATCAGCCCTGTGTCCATCTAAAAATTAAAATGTCCTCTTCCTGCTATTGTGGGTACCTGATTTATAGTGTTCTTGCAAGTATACAACCAATACCACTTCAACCCTTAAAATGAATACAGCAATAGGTAGAGTAAGAATCCACTTCATTTTGCTCTGTGAGATGTACATTAGTTATTGCTTCCAAGGCAACTGCAAACTCTGACAATAGCCCACTATTATCTACTGCTGTTCTCTCTCCCTCCCACCTCTTGGAGCATCTATGTGATGTACATTAACAGACTCATCTTTGGTTCTATTACAGGGTGAAGCTGGTGCTGCTGGTCCTGCTGGCCCAGCTGGTCCTCGGGGTAGCCCTGTAAGTAGAAATCTGGGTACTTTGGACACCCACATCTCATGATTTGCAGACATTCATGAACCTAGGATTACTAAGACACTTCTAAATTCCTCCTCCCATCTAGGGTGAACGTGGTGAGGTTGGTGCTGCTGGCCCCAATGGATTTGCTGGTCCCGCTGTGAGTATCACATAATGAAGGCTAATCTGAAGACATCCTAAATTGGAGAAGAGAGTGAGTCAGAATACCACAGCTATAATTGTTCCTTTCCAACAGGGTGCTGCTGGTCAACCTGGTGCTAAAGGAGAGCGAGGAACCAAAGGGCCCAAGGGTGAAAACGGTGTTGTTGGCCCCTCCGGTCCTGTTGGAGCTGCTGGCCCATCTGTAAGCTGAATTAACTGGTAGTCAACACAGACTGTGCAGTTTCCCATGAGATGTTATAATTCACTACACATCCATTGTGTGCCTACTATCTACCAGGCAGCCCAGATAGAAGATGATTTTTTTAAAGAACTAATGTTTATATACCACTTTACAAAAACATACAAAGTTTTTTTATATGTCTTATTTTTATTTATTTTTGTTTTTAAAATATTTTTATTGTTATGCTGGGGGTACATTGTGGCATTTACAAAAGTTCTTACAATATATTAAATATACTTGAATTCACCTATCTATCATTCTCCTTTATCCCTTCCTCCTTCCATTCCTGGAATAGTTTCAGCATGTCTTATTTTTATTCTTCAATAACTCTTTAGGATGGCAATATTAAAGTAAAGACATTTATTTCATATGATACACATAATCATTTTTGATTTCCAAATTTTCTTGCAATATATGTGAGAATGATATTTCAGGGGGAAAGTAACGTTTATAAAAGTGATTTATTTTGTGATTTGACCCCATCTTTTTGTTTCATTTAGGGTCCAAATGGTCCCCCTGGTCCTGCTGGAGGTCGTGGTGATGGAGGGCCCCCTGTGAGTATTTACAGTGAACTTTGATCACTTTTCTTTCTTCAGAATTTATTAGGGTCAATTTGAAAGTTTTGGAATTTTTGGTAAATTTTATGATGAAAAGAATCTTGAGATTCAAGTTCACTCTAACCAGAGCAATTCTGATTTTGAAGTTAAAGTTAGTTTCATGGGATATTAACTTAATCCCAACAGCAACTCAGCATGATATATATTGCTACCACCTGACTTGAGGTAATAACCGAAGTCAATCCCAGGCAGTTGAATTGTAAAATGGATACAAATATTTCTTTGATGCTTTTTTTATCCTGTGGTTTATGTCCCACTTTTGCCTGGCCAAAACCTTCCCATTTGCATCCAGTGGTATCACCCTGACTCTCTAGAGACCCAGATCTCCCCAGGAATGAACTCCACAGAACTTTTCCCCTCACTAGGCAGTGCTTAATGCTCTGAGCCATTGTTGCATCTTCCTCTGTAACCAACTTTACTTATTCAGTGTCCTTTCCCTTAGCATCTAGTCAAATGGTTAAGGTGGTTGCTAATTAATGTGTAATAATGACAGTATCTTACATTCTTGCTCTTACAATCATCAGATAGCATCTTGGTATTTCAAAAGTACCACCAAAATCTTAATGCAAAATCATGGGCCTTGCAACTAGTAGCCTGCTGATAAGGAAGACATGGAGGAGGACCTGCTGGTATCCTGGTTAAATAATACCTATGTGAAGCTTCATACCATCTGTTCTTTGGTCCATCCCTAAGTCATATGAAGATTTTCCAAAGGAGAAGTTTCTAGCTAGTGCAGACCTTCAGAGTTGGTTTGACTGCAGAATTTTAATGTGCTTGGTTCTTAGGGTATGACTGGCTTCCCTGGTGCTGCTGGACGGACAGGTCCCCCTGGACCCAGTGTAAGTAAATCACTCCAAACATATGTCTTCATTTACTCTAACCAAAAGACCAGGCCAGACTAGAAAACTAGTTAAAAAAAAAAAAACTCTCTGAAAACACATCTGTAGTATTCGCTATTATGTCACTGGTCTAAAATCAGTTTTTCTGAACCATTAAGACAAAATCATCACAACTTATATTTTATAGTATCAGTTTAAGAGGCTCCTATTCATGCAAACATCAGTTCCCTTCAGGGGCATGATCTCTGTGTAAAAATTAAAAAAAAAAAAAAACAGAGCAGTTTTAGTCTCATATCAGATATTTCTATATCTAATTACCCTTTATGGCTAACATTCTGCCTCCATTGTTAAGGTATAATTGTTCCTGAATTTAAAGGTGGTTTGGCCTCTAATTTAATTCTGACTCAGACTCTCCTGTCAGGACTCAAGAGAATTTAATTAATTATCAAGGATTAAGTCTTCTGGTTAAGGTTTCAGGGAAAAAAATAGCAAAGATGTTGATTTCTTGGAATCCTTTTAGAGGTTCATAACAGAAAAATCTCCACTCCCTGTAGGCATTTAATTAAACCTAGTTGAGAGCATATGTGATTCCACAATTATGAGCAAAATGCCAGTATTGACTTTCCTCAAAAAGAAATCAGAAGAGTCCTCCAAACCCTAAAATTTCATTTGTTTCCAACTCTTGAAACAACTCCCAGTTCAGACTCCATTATGCCAGGGTACCAGTGGCACAACATTGATCTCCTCACCAGAATTTACCAAAGACCCTACCTCAACTATCTGCTTCGTTACAGCCTCAGGAGAAGGCAGAAGCTGCTTCTTCCCATGAGAATGTTTTTTAAAAAATCTAAACCTTCCCCAAAAAATGTCCAGGATGTTACTTTGTTGCATCACCCTGTTTGCAACTTAATATCTCCAACCTCTGCTGCTCTCTTCCAGGACCATGACAATTAACAGAAAGTGAATGAATGACCTTTACATTTGTCCTCAGGGTATTACTGGCCCTCCTGGCCCCCCTGGTGCTGCTGGTAAAGAAGGGCTTCGTGGTCCTCGTGGTGACCAAGGTCCAGTGGGTCGAACTGGAGAAACAGGTGCATCTGGCCCCCCTGGCTTTACTGGTGAGAAGGGTCCCTCTGGAGAGCCTGGTACTGCTGTAAGTGATTTAAAACTCCTTTTTCTTAATACCTTACATAGGGTTAAAATAAAGCCCCTCCACAATTCAAGTGGCATATATTTATTTCAGGCTCTCAAGTAGAGCTCGGTTGAGCAAGGAAATCTGTCCAGCACACATTGAGGTGCCGTGGCATTAACAGATGCTCAGAAAGCACATAATAGGAGTGGCAGTAAATGAAGGAACTCAGTTTTATCACTAAAACCCTTTAAGCTGTTGAGGGCACCTAAGGTAGCAGGATTCAAGCAGAATCTCATTGCTGGGGCCATCCTACTGTAAATTAATCAATCTGAGTAAGCTACTGATCCCTTAGCCATGCATTAGCCAGCGTAATTGCTGCTCTGAAAAGTGCCTTTATTAGATATTAGAAGCCAAGGTCAAAATTTGCTTTCCTGCATAAAGTCTATAAAAACTTTATTCCACTGACCCCCAAAAGGCTTCATTAATCTCAACCACATATTTTAAAATGTTGTACCATTGGCCAGGAGCAGGTGATTCATGCCTGTAATCCCAGCTATTTGGGAAGCTGAGATCAGGAGAATCTCACAGGGTTTGAGGACAGCCCCAGGCAGATAATTCACACTACCCCATCTCCAAAATAACAGAGTAAAATGGGCTGGAGGTTTGGCTCAAATGGTAGAGTGCCTGCTTTGCATGTGCAGAGCCCTGAGATCAAACCCCAGTCCCTTCAAAAAAAGTTGTCCCATTGATCTCAAGGCAGAACCAAATACAAAAAAAAGTATACTTGCCAAGACGTGAACTCATTGTCATCATGAGATAAAAGATATCCAAGGAACTGTCCCACTAGTGGAGGTTGCTAGCTTTTTTCTAAACTGAGGACAGCTCATTTGGAGAATTCTCAAGTCAACCTGCATTATCAGCTAGGGGCTTAGCAGTGATCCTCAGTCTTCTTCCTCTTGTTTAGGGCCCTCCTGGCACCCCAGGTCCTCAGGGTCTTCTTGGTGCTCCTGGTATTCTTGGTCTCCCTGGCTCTAGAGGTGAACGTGGTCTGCCAGGTGTTGCTGGTGCTTTGGTGAGTGTTTGACAGGGCATTCTGATCTCATTAACATAACAAAAGATTTTAAAAGCTGCCACTTCAAATGTGACAGATTGATCACTGAATAACTCCACTTAAGATTTTTATTCATGGCATTTTCTTTATACAGATCACATGTCACTTATCTAAGAAGCCTTAATACCACCTTACATAGACACAGTATAAAGACACAGCTTAACATTATGCAGAATGATTTTTGTTCTTTCTACACGCTTAAGAATGGTATACAGTCTAATTGCATTTACTCCTCTGCAATATGAAATGCTAGCATCATTTATCCTGCAGAAAGAATGAAATTCTGAAAGTTCTGAATCATTCCATTTAACCTTACACGTGACAGCAACTCGGAACCATCTCATCTCCATAAACTCTATCAACTTTATGAATTCATTTCATTTGGCATGTTGGATAAAACTAGGTTCCCCTTGTACAGAGCTATGTTTTATAACTACACCCTGCCCCTCTGAACATAGAAGGAAGGCAGGGATGACACTAACAATGCTTCCTGCCCTGTTGCAGCCCATTCACATTCAATGTACCTTTTCTCTTTAAAGTAGAATTTCCTAAGGATTGTTTTGAGAGGGGGATGTTAGTGTTCCAGCCAATGAGAACAATGTTGTTTCATCTTCTCTGCCTCTTCAGGGCGAACCTGGTCCTCTGGGCATCGCAGGCCCTCCTGGAGCCCGTGGTCCCCCTGGTGCTGTGGGGAGTCCTGGAGTCAATGGTGCTCCTGGTGAAGCTGGTCGTGATGTGAGTCTCACACTTGGTTTGTAATAGAAAACCAACAGGACTTCATAGTGTGCAACTGCGTGTGTTGATCTGAAGTTTCTGAACTAGACAGACTGTTTCTTCACAATAGCTACATGGAATGATCTCTCTTAGTATTCAAAATATGAAAAGTTACTTGGGCTGGAGTAAGAATCTTTAACCACACACTCTATATTTGGGTCCAAATATTAAAAAAAAAAAAAAAAACCTCTAAAAGACTCTAACTTGGCAGGTTCTTGCTCCTATTTTTAACAGTGTGAAAGGGTTTCACCCTTGAGAAGTGGGGGTGGTGAAGACAGAGTAGCTACAGCATAGGGACTGGTAGACCAAAGAACCTCACCAAGAGCCTTACTTTGCACGGTGTCTTCACAGGGCAACCCTGGCAACGATGGTCCCCCAGGTCGCGATGGCCAACCTGGACACAAGGTCAGTACACTTTTTCACCTTTCTCTAATTTAAAAGTAATTAAAAATGCAAACAGATTGATGCTAAGCTTCATTTACCTTTGGTAGGGAGAACGTGGTTACCCTGGCAACATTGGTCCCGCTGGGGCTGCAGGTGCACCTGGTCCTCATGGCCCCGTGGGTCCCGCTGGCAAACATGGAAACCGTGGTGAACCTGTAAGTCTTTGATTCTGTCATCTCATGGGTTTCAATTTTGACTCCACACTTGGGGATAAGGGGGGCATCAGGAGAAGGATGCTGGATTTAACTGATGAGTTCTGTTTTTCTTTTTTCAATTCACAGGGTCCTGCTGGTTCTGTTGGTCCAGTTGGTGCTGTGGGTCCAAGAGGTCCTAGTGTATGTACATGGTGAAGATTTCTTTACAAATATTAAAGAAGAATTAGTCCAAGTCATCTATTAAGAAAATATAAAACACACAGGCTAGACTCCATATTTAAAAAAATACTAGTCTGTGCTGAGAATTAATACAGATAACTTTAAGTCTGTTCTGCTTGTTTGCGTTAAATAATCGCAAGGATGGAAACTTTTCGTAGCTAAACTAAAGCAGATTATCAGAAAAGACCCATCTAGACCTTTGCATCTTTCAAGTTACTTTTGTAACTGATTGAACAGCATTTGTAGAAAAGTGTCATGTTTTTTAAAAGATAAAAATCCTCTCTGTCCTTCTCTCTCCTTACAGGGCCCTCAAGGCATTCGAGGTGACAAGGGAGAGCCTGGTGATAAAGGGCAGAGAGGCAGTCCAGGCCTCAAGGGACACAACGGATTTCAAGGTCTTCCTGGTCTCGCTGTAAGCAAAACATGGCCATCCTGACTATCCCCTGAACATCCAAGGCCTTCATCTCAGAATGATCTTCTACACATTTTCACTGCTGTTGTTCTAAAACATCCTGCCATCATATCCAATTTCCATTCACTGGCTAACTCGTTCTTTCTCAGAGATGACGCTATTTCATCCCAACACAAAAAGGCGAGGGTTAAGGGAGAGAGAAATACACATATATTAAAATCTCCTGGCAACAATGTCTTTCAACCCCACTTAAAATAAATATAATTAGAAGGATGACTAATATTGCACTGTTGAAATAGCTTGTGGAAAAAATAATTGAATATAATAGACATAATTGGAGAAAAGAGCCCCACTTTATACTTTCAATTTTTTCAATCCAGAGTCCAGTGAAACTAAAGTTTTCCATTCAATTTGAAAAAAGAAAAAAAAAGCTTATCTATTGACACATGTTCTGAAAGTGTTTTCATGTTCTTTCTTTGAAGGGTCTACATGGAGATCAAGGCTCTCCTGGCCCAGTGGGTCCTGCTGGTCCCAGGGTAGGTGAATCCAAGAGACAGTTCATCTCTGGAATAAAGGATAACACAGGCAGCGCCCCAGGGCGCCACTACATCTTGGGGTTTTGTTCACTCACATGTCCTTCTTCCTTAGGGCCCTGCTGGTCCTACTGGCCCTGCTGGCAAAGATGGTCGCTCTGGACATCCAGGTTCAGTCGGACCTGCTGGTGTTCGAGGCTCTCAGGGTAGCCAAGGTCCTGCTGTAAGTATGACTCACAGAAATAATAGAGAACATCACTAACCCAAGAAATACTCTCTTCAGATGAAACCAAGAGAATTTTAACAACACATTCAAGTAGCCCCACTTCAGTAAACTTCCAAGATATCTGAAAATTGTCTGCATACAATGTGTGTTTAAGCCCTTCCCGGCAAGTGTACCTGGGAGCAAGTTATTTCTTTACATGAACTTGATCCTTTGTTGCTTACCAGAACATGTGAAATTCAACTGAAAATCTGCTACCAATGATGTCTCTCTTACTGCAACCAAGTTCAAAGCATCTCCTTTCTCATTCACACCTCTGCAGGGCCCTCCTGGTCCCCCTGGCCCTCCTGGACCTCCTGGTGCAAGTGGTGGTGGCTATGACTTTGGTTTTGATGGAGACTTCTACCGGGCTGACCAGCCTCGCTCCCAGCCTTCTCTCAGACCCAAGGATTATGAAGTTGATGCTACTCTGAAATCTCTCAACAACCAAATTGAGACCCTTCTCACTCCTGAAGGCTCCAGGAAGAACCCAGCCCGCACCTGCCGGGACTTGAGACTCAGCCACCCAGAGTGGAGCAGTGGTAGGTCACAGCATCCAAGCCAGGCTGGCCCTTTTCACAAGCTGAGCTTTCCAAAATCAGTTCCTACTGCCATTTAGAATGAAAATGTGTTGGGGCAGAAATCACACTGCATGATGTCATACCCAAGTAATGAAGCATTATGTTCTTCCAATCTGTACCCATCTTTGCCTCGTCTTAGCATATAATTTTGCCCTTCTTGTGAGTACTAAAATACCCTAATTTGATTTTGCATAAAAGAGAGAAGAGAAGAAACTGTGTTATCTTAAAAGTAGCCACCCTCTTCCCATTAAATGTGGAGCAGACAATATAATGGTATGATAGAAATGTTAGTTACGGGAACATCTTTGGCTGGTTATTATTAGACTCTACATTCTGCTCAATAAGAAGTTTGTGACTGAGGTCTTGTTTTCTGAAAAGGTTACTACTGGATTGACCCTAATCAAGGATGCACTATGGATGCTATCAAAGTCTACTGTGATTTTTCTACTGGTGAGACCTGCATCCAGGCCCAACCTGAAAACATCCAAGCCAAGACCTTGTACAGGAGCTCCAAGGCCAAGAAGCATGTCTGGTTAGGAGAAACTATCAATGGTGGTAGCCAGGTGAGGGATCCTGCAGACATTCTTCCTTATGCTAAGTATTATTAAGACTCTTTGGATTTTAATTCTCTGAGTTTCAATCCCTTATCAAATTGGGCTTATTAAAAGAGCCTGCTCTCTTCATGGGTTCTAACTCTGTCCTACATTGCACATTAAAAGATGGATTGATTGGACACTTCCATATGATTCAAACTGTTATTCAAATTTGATTTAATTGATAATTACTGTGGAAACAGGCTAATGTCACGTAGTGTAAAGGTGCACCAGCCAGCATAGAGCCCCACAACCATACATATGCATTTTCAGAATGTGAGCAGGTTTGCTGAATTTTTAATCAAACCTTTCACCAACATTATTGAATGTCTATTAGAATTCAATAAATTACAGAATTACAGGGGAAAAAAGGAGATCTAAATCTCTGTCACATCCCTGTCTTATTCTAATGGAGCTAAATACACATTAACACCTACGTGAAACAGTTGTCATTTTCAGAGGACCTTGCTTCATCCTGGTGCAGCTTATGTCCAGCTAGATAACTGATACTTCAAAGACAAGTGAATTGAGTTTCCTAAAAAAGTACCTTTTCCCTAAAGCTTGAAATATGAGTTCATTAATCTAACTTATGCCAGACTTTTTAAATTTTGACTTTTAGTGTCTTAGTTCTTCTCCATTTAACTGAAATTTCCATCTTATTCCCTGCAGTTTGAATACAATGTAGAAGGAGTGACCTCCAAGGAAATGGCTACTCAACTTGCCTTTATGCGCCTCCTTGCCAACCATGCCTCTCAAAACATCACCTACCACTGTAAGAACAGCATTGCATACCTGGACGAGGAGACTGGAAGCCTGGATAAGGCCATCATTCTGCAGGGCTCCAATGATGTTGAACTTGTTCCTGAAGGCAACAGCAGGTTCACCTACACTGTTCTTGTAGATGGCTGCTCTGTAAGTAATAGTAAAACATGGGAAGAATGTTTATTTTGGGAAGAGGGGTGGAGAAACTTCTAGCTTAAAACATTAAATGAACAATGAAAAATCTAATTTATTTGATCTCTTTTCATAAATATGTTTATTTAAATTCATCTAAATATTCTCTGATAAATCCAGATAATTATAAGACATTGCCTTCAGAAGCACTCAGAAATATTGAAATGACTACTATATCCATGTATTAGTTGTTTTTCCTTTAACATGAATTTTTTTATTGCTGGGTGGGGGTACATTGTGGCATTTACAAAAGTTCATACAATATCTCAAACATATTGTACTTGAATGTACCCCCTCCACTATTCTACTTCATGCTCCCCTCCCGCCCCACCCCCATTCCTGGGATAGTTTCAACAGAGTGGTAGCAAATGTCCAGAATTTAAAATTTCTTGAGGCTTAAAGACCTCAAGCTTTAATTTATTGCTTTATGTATTTTATGTTACTTATCAGTATGGTTTACATTTAGTTTTTTCTTTGTAAAGGAAAGAAAGGAAGCATATTCTCTATAATACACTATAAATAAAAGAAGATTTAAAATTCACTTATAGCAGTACTATATAACCACCCAACTCCCTCTTTCCAAACTCTCTGTTCTCTCTCTCTCTCTCTCTTTCATACACACATACACACCAGTCCTGAAAACCATGCTATAAAAATAAGTCACTGGGAATGTGTATTGAAATGCATTTAAAACAGACTGGCTAAGAACCCCTTCCCCAAAAGAGACCCTTGATGCTGTAATGTCAAAGATGAACTTTGACAAGTGCTGGGACACCTATCTTCAGAATGACAAGGACAAGCCAAAAAGTGGTTCCTGTAAAATCTAAGGTTCAGATATTGATGACATTCAGAAGTAGCACTGCTTTATGTATATTTTTTCCTTTTGCTTTCTAAACAGAAAAAGACAAATGAATGGGGGAAGACAATCATTGAATACAAAACAAATAAGCCATCTCGCCTGCCCTTCCTTGACATTGCACCTTTGGACATCGGTGGCGCTGACCAGGAATTCAAAGTGAACGTTGGCCCAGTCTGTTTCAAATAAATGAACTCAACCTAAATTAAAAACCATAAAATGAATCTGAAAACTTTCTCCTTGCCATTTCTTCTTCGTCTTCTTTTTAACTGAAAGCTGAATCCTTCCATTTCTTCTGCACATCTTCTTGCTTAAATTGTGGGCACAAGAGAAGGATTGATCAGAGCATTGTGCAATATGATTTAATTAATTCCCTCTCCCTTCCTCCCTCCCCAAAGGATTTGGAGTCTTTTTTCAACATTCTTACACCTGTTGTGGAAAATGTCAACCTTTGTAAGAAAACCAAAATAAAAATTGAAAAATAAAATAAAAACCATGAACATTTGCACCACTTGTGGCTTCTGAGTATCTTCCGCAGAGGGAAGTTTAAAACCCGAACTTCCAAAGGTTTAAGCTACCTCAAAACACTTTTCCGTGAGTGTGATCCACTTCATTGGGTGCTGACCTAGACAGACGTGAACTGAGGTAATTGTTTGTTTCGTTCATAATACAAAGGTGCTAATTAATAGTATTTCAGATACTTGAATGTCGATGGTGCTAGGAGAATTTAAGAAGAAATACTCCTCTGTATTGAGTTGTATTGTGTGGTGTTTTTTAAAATTTAATTTAGAATCCTTATTTCCCATCTCATCCCCAGCTAAAGGTATGCAGATTGGTTGCCCAAAGTTATCCTCCTCTTCAGATTCAGCATTTGTTCTTTGCCAGTCTCCTTTTCATTCTCTTCCATGGTTCCAAAGAAGCCTTGTTTCTTGGACAAGCAGAAAATTAAATTGTACCTATTTTGTATATGTGTGAGATGTTTAAATAAATTGTGAAAAATGAAATAAAGCATGTTTGGTTTCCAAAAGAAAATATTGAGTAAAATTCCTTGCTTCAGTGCTCTTTGCAATATAAACATGCATCTCTACCAGCCATTTAACCAAATGCTTCTTATTATATAGAAGTTATGCTAACAGGGAGGTTTGGCAAGGTGGAAAGAGCAGAGAACAAGGACCCAGGAGATCCGAGCTCCAATTTTGGCACTGCTCCTCATGGCTAAGTGACCTTGAGCCTCTGACCTCTGTATTTCAGCTTCTATTACATATAATATGGGAAAGAGTCCTTCTCTGCATTATTAAACATTTTCCCTGCTCAGAATGCATATTACTTAACCAACATGGCATTGTTGGCCTAAATTTACTATAAGAAAATGTCCATAGAAACTGCTTTATTATCCATTTAGCACTTTGTAACCGTGGCTCAAAGTTAGTCTATATACAAGTAATATTATTAACTAAAACAGTTTCAAATATTCAGTAAAAATTCCATACACTTAAATCTGATGTAACCGAGTACAATGCCTGTTAAGTGGGAATGTGTGCGCTGTCAATCAGCATAGACAGTTATGGATAATAGTACTAGGAACACCTACCTGCCAAATCATGTTCATCTCCCTCCCCTGCACCTTTCGATGACATCTTAATACACTTAAACATAGTAATGTGTCAAGTAAAATGTTAAGATTCATTTAGAACTTATTTCCTGTTGCAGAACATAATTGTTATTGTAATATTTGCCTCCTGTTATAAGTCATCTCAAGATCCAATTAGTTTTAAAAGCAAAAGATTGAACAGGATGAAAATGTAACACTAAAAAGTTACCACAGTCTACTAGCCAAATGGCAACCTCAATTTATGGTCCTTCTACCACAAAAATCAGAATACTAGGATGCTCGTTAAAATTCAGGTATACAAACCTCATCCACCAAACTCAGATTTTATAAGGAGTCAGTGTTTGTAAGCACCATGTGAAAATCTGACATGCACCAATTGGGGAAGAAACCACTGGATAAAGTTACCTACATAGTCCTTTCCAGCTGTAACATTCTATGCCTGTCAAGCATGAATCAATATATCTGACCAAAAAATATAAAGAAAAGTAAACCCCTGGGAGCAGAATGTTAGTACCCTCTAAAGATTAAGAATCAAAACAAGGCAAGCTTACATGATAAAACAATTAGAAATCTCAGAGTTAAATATAAATACACCCCCAGGTTCATAATACAAGGAAGAAAACCAGCATTTGTTGGGTACTAACAATGGGCTAAACACTACCCTGGAATAACAACGACCTCTGTTGCACAGAAGCTGGATCAGCAGATTTCCCAAGACAGCAGTGTCTTACTCATCACTTAATCATCAGTGTGACACAACAGAAAAATAGTTATATAAATAATGGCATATATGATAGATAACAATGAGGAAATATATTATGGTATTTAATGGATAATTGAATAAATAGTGAAATATACATTTGACCCCCAATAACATTTATGAGGATGACAAAATAAAAGAAAAACTGCTTAGAATAAAATGTTTAGTCTTTAAAATGGAATATTCAAGTACACTGCCATTAGAAATATATTAAACAAGCGTGTAAAACGTGCTGACGGTAGGTGCTCTAGTATAGTAAGATTAGGAATGACTCTTAGGCCTCAATTTTCCAAATTTGCTATAAGACAGTTTTATTGCTTGTATCATTTACAAAAAAACTCAAAATATTATGAGAAGAAATTAGTAGTCAACAAGTGGAAACAATCTTGGAGAAGTGGCTATCTCCAGGGAAAAGCTGGCCAACTTCCCACGCACCTGTTTCTTGAATGAGAGGGAAAAGTCTAGCCTAAGAATCATCATCCACCATGTACCAGCCACCCTGGAAGACACTGGGGAGGATGCACAAACCTATACGAGGCAGCAGCATCCTCAGAGTCTCCCAGCTCAGCTGCAGAAACAGAATAAACCCATGTGTAAATAGAATTTTAAAGAAAGTGTCCTCTGAGGATAGCAAGACACTAAATTAATTAGAGCAATTCTCAGGAAATTAACCTTAGTTTCCTGCAGTACCGTGATACTTGGATTGAACTGGACTCTCTCGCTAGATAGAAATCTCATTTCACCTGAAAGCCTTCTGTCTGGCTGATGCTTCTGCACTGGAAGTCGTATGTTAGAACAGTCTGGTACTTACCAAGCCAACAAGTGCGTAGTGATACTCTCAAGGCCTGAGTTGAAAAATTGGACATAGAGCAATGTCCTAAAGGCTTTACCCTTCCAGGATCAGTCCCCTCTTCAATGCTAATCACCAGGCCCAAGGAATGCTTCTCATGACATTCCGTGACCCTTGGCTGAGTGAAGGTCGGCCACCTTGAACTCGTGTGAGTGTGAGAAGGAAAAGGATTGTTCGTGAGAGAGGGACAGAGCAGGTAGCCAAGATCCAAGGAGGGGCCATTAATCAAGTCTGGTAAAAAGGGTCATTTAAAATTCTAAAATCAATATAGCTAATGCACTGGCAAAGAGCAAAGACACCTGAGAAGGCTGAACACATTTATTATCTTTAATGCCAAAAGACCTTTTTATGCTGTTCCACTTAATATCACTGAAAAGGAAGTTCCAAAATTGGATTATAGATAAGAAAAGTTGGAAATGTCATTCTGGGTCAGAACAACAATCTATCTAGATGAGCACTTTGCCTTTGACAGTGGCACCAGGGGAAATTTGGGAGAAAGAGCAGTTGGCACTTCTCATGAAGCCAGACTCAGAAGTCCCATTTAATAACCCATTGTAAATCTTCTTTGTACACAGATGTAGCTAAACCTGTCCACAGCCCTCTATCTGTTTTGAAATATGTGGGTATTACAGTACCAACAGGGAGAGCGAATGCTTAATTGTTAGCTCAGCTCCTGGCCCTCTGATCATGTAGTTAGAATGTGTTTTCTAGCCCTGTGCCTAGGTCAACCAGGGACTCAGCAACTCCATATTCTCAGAGAGCACCAGTAACTGCAACAACAGAGCCATAGACAGCCCATAATGACCGTTTCTCCCTGCAGGCCAGTAAAATGAGCACATAATTTATGGTCAGCAGCACTGGCTCCACCACTGACTAGCCGAGGGCCCTTGGGAAAGTCTCTTAAGTTACATAAGGATTAGGTTAAGGTACCTGATTTTGGAGATTTCCATGGGCATACCTACTTTACCTATGTCACAGAACTGCTGGGTGGACCAAATTGGGCATGTGTAAAAGCACTGAGTAAAGTATAGTCAATTTTATTTGTCATCATTAGTTCCAAAATGTCCAGTCTCTTGCAGTAGCCTCTTGACATAATTTCTTATCCCTGGCCCTCCAATTTAGGGAGAAGAGAGTCTATAATTTAAATTTAATTAACAGTACTATAAGTCTACCAATTTGGAGTTGGGCCTCCGTGTCAATAAACTTTTGAACTTTTACAGCTAATCTTGTTTATCTGTTTTCAAATGTTATAACTGTACAGTGGTCTAGTTGATAATGTGCAATATAAAACCTCTACAGGAAAAAAATGTACAAAGACAGAAAATAAATACAAGTAGAACATTCCATACTTCAGGGGTTCATTTTGCACATGCACTGATCCCATTCCTCCAGTGTAGAGACTGCTGCTCTGAACAAGGGTCTGTAATGGACTTAAGGGAGATCCATCAATGAAATCCTGAAATAGCACATAAAATTATATGCATCTGCAAACTTTCCCTGGAAGAAAGTCAATGACTTTCTTTAGATACTCCCAGGGGGTCAATGACTTTGGACTCTTCTAAACTATAACTTTCATGTCTTGGGTATCTTACTCAAGAACATTGTGCTTCTTATAAGACCTGAGAAACCCAACCAGCACCAGCCCAAATTAAAATAGATATTTGTCTTTAATTTTTCCACTTCCCTGTTATGAGCCCTCTGTCTTCTGCCTTAACAGGCTTAATAAGTACCTTATGACCCGGTCTTATAATTTGCAACATCAAGATGCACCTGTCAGTAGAATGTCTAAAAAAGAGCAAACTAAATATTGGAAATCAATTAATGAGTTAACCCTTCTAGGTAAATTATGAATGTTTTAGTTATTTGATTCTTTAAAGAAAAATTATATGGTTTAACCTAAAAAATATTACAGTTCCTGGCATAAAAGTTTGTAAAGACAATAATTGCTTCCCAGGAACCCTCAAATCCCCTCATAGACCAAGTCTCATTTGGCTGCTCCTAAGAAAACTATTATTCTGAGCTCAAGGTTTAAGAGTAATTTTGACCAGAATTAACAATCCTATTGGAATCTAGAAAGACAAACTTAAAACTGCAATTCACCGTGTATTAAAAGAAATTCACAAACACAAAAGAAATCCCTAAAATATAAAAATGCTGTTTTTACCAGTGAGCATTGTTTTCTAGAGCAGTATTGCTATTGGTGTCCCACCACCTAATCAACCATAAACAGGCTGCAAAGAACAGAAATAATTTTTAAATGGAATCTATGAATGCAAAGCAAAGTGAGAACTCCTACTCATTCACTGCTCCATGGAGTGCATGGACTTTCTCTCCTCACAGGATGTCACTTCGAGTTCACTGCTCCCCCTACTGACTGACTAATAGAACGCCCAAGGGCTTTCTGGGACAGAGAGGCACAACATCAGAGGAGAGAAAACAGAACAGCTTCCTGTGCGTATTTCCTATGTGTTCTAGACACACAGGCTTCTGTCCAGCTGCAATATAGTGATCTACCTTGTATATTCATTACCCCCTCTTTTATTTGCTTTCTCCCCTCTATCTTTAATGTCTCTTCCAGAGCACTGATAAATGCAAACATAATGCTGACAAAGGTAAACATAATAAGTTCCACAGAACATTTGGGTAAGTAGAGCTGTTCAACTCTACAAATGTTGCCCTAAGATGCAATGAGCAACTCTTGAAGACTTAAGCAAAGAGTGAATGGGTACAGTTAAGAGATTGTTTGAAACAGAGACAAGAGGATGTCAGAAAGAATAAGGGCTTAGGATACAGAGCTAT